GGGAATATATTGGTGGGCATTAAAAGCAAAACATTACGCTTTTGGCCATGTTTGGAATAGTCAAAGAGTAAATCATATTGGTTTTATTAATAACTTTAAAATAAGATGTATTGATATAGATAACCAGCAGATGTCTAGCAGTTTAAGAACTTACTCAAAACTTTATTTTTATTTTTGTATTAAGCAATATAATGTATTTGAAAATTATCTAGATTGTATTCAAGTAAGTGGCTATCGTATTGATTTGAGTAAATTTAGATGTTCTCGTCAAACTTTGCTAATTGAAGATGGAAGGAAGTACAATATACCTAGAGCTAAGAGACTATGTCCATTTTGTGTAAGACCTTTAGTGGAATCTGAATATCATTTTTGTTTACAATGTCCATACTATGACAGTTTGAGACGTAATGTTCTACCTTATTATTTTTACACAAATATAACTTTTGATAAATGCGTAACTCTCTGTACATCTAAAACCCCATGCATAGTTAATGCTTTAGCTACATTTATATTTCTTGCTTTTAAAAGCGTAATAACTTTCTCATTGGCGCTGACATTGTCTAATTTTTATATCATGTATTGTATAATGGGCTGGTGGCCCCTTTACTGAAATAAAGCTCTCTCTCACCCTGGCAGTTGATGTACCCGTATTTGAGTAAACCAGTGTTACACGGGTAGATTGTTAAACGATAGAAACGCTTCACAATAACATGATCATAAGAACTATCTCACAAATACGGAGACATCTCTATTGGTAGCTTTGTCGAAAATAGTCAATTATTATTGTTCACAAAGTCAATTCGACTACAATGAAAATATTGGACATCTTTGGGTTAGTGGTTAACGCTGTAAATAAATCAAATACTTTCTGGTAATCCAGGATAAGGTGAACCAACTCACAAAACGCGTTTGAGACAGAGGCGGTACACAGAATATGGGCAAACATATTTGGTTTGTTACAGGTAGAGAGTATGTACGTGCAAGCCATGACGATGAAATTGACTAAGCTCACGTGTACACACGTACTGATTATAAGACTATAAAGAGGTCGGTGTGACAAGCTGAAATAGAAACCGCAACCGAATGTAAAGACTAGTGCTATGAATATCCAGTTATCTCAATATAAATCCAGTTAGCAATATTACGTTGACAGTATGCTGAAGCCCATAAAAATCACATGGGATTAATGAAGGAGTATGTCATTGAGTCAACTATCAATACTTCAAGGTCTCAACCTTCATTATTATTTGATGAATGACATGACACTACTCAGTATTGCTCTCCTGGGTAAAAAAAGTATTCCATTTTTTCAGCAAATGAATTCCCTTCATCGTAACGAGACGTCTCGATTGTTGTTATCTATGCAAATTTGCTGTCCTCGTTTTCAGAGTCAGCACGTTTTATTACGTGCTATGGAACTCGCCACTAGAGGTCGTTGTTCGTCGAGACAGGACACGCACATATCCGGCTACTTGTCACGGACCACCCGATACCCCTTTCTTCACAACGGTACGCGCCAGTAGGCGGACTTATCTTGGTTTACCAGTAGTATACCTGCCGAGTATTGTCTGAGAAGGTTGTAGCCGTAAACACCATGAGTATCTGGAGATTTTGTATTGCATTCATTACGAATTTTCAAGGTGTTCAATGTTATATCATAATGTGCATGGAATCAAAAGTGATCATGTTTTTTACTGATAAATCACCTTGAAAAACACCACCAACTTGTCTATGTAAGTCTTACTATTTTATCAACTCTTTTGATACTTTCTAGTTGGAACTTGTCATGCTGTAAAATGAAACTTACTGTTTCATTCTTTTCTCTGTGCCCGAACAACAGTAGCCGTTTCGCCACCAGAAACAGTGACATGTAATGACATTTCTGTACTATACTAGATAAATCACCTTGAATAAATGAATGAATGTGTTCCTTTGACAAGTTAATATTAATCTTGTCCTTTATCAAAGCTCTTGATGTCACACACAATGACAGTTGAATGACATCTGCAAGAAAGAGAGTTTTGGTGTTGTCAGAAAGCACGATCTGTTGACCCACTGAGATACTTTGGAATGCGTCAACCTGACAGTCACCACGGTGTAAGAATAGAGCCTGTTAACTATGTATAATGTTATACATTATTGATTGCATGTCATGGTACCCCGACGGCGAGGGACGTTGCTGGATTGTCTGGTCCACACTCAATGATTTTCAGACCGCATCATATAGCTGACATATTGCTGTGTTTGGCGTAAAACTAGAGACAAAATCAACCAATACTTTATTCACACTTGCACCAACTCATGAATCACTTAATTCAGAAACAATTTACACTGAATGACAGATAGCAGTGTATGGGTAGAATGTCTACGAATATGCTTTAAACAAGCGGTATACATGTAGGTATATAGACTGTTTCATAACTTGTATCAGCATTTAGACTGTGGAACGTGTTATTCGTGTGTTTATTTCCGGTTATGTGGTCACAGTTTTTCGGGTTGGCTGAACAGGTGAGGTGGTAAGGTGAAATGGGGTTTAACGTCGCGTCCAAGATTATTGCACTTATATAGCGTCGAACCCCGGACCTTCTGCTCTCCGGGCGGACGCTCTACCACTAGACCACGGAGGCGGTCTTGGCTGAACAGAGATTCAACTGTAAATATTATACAATAGTTCCTTTGAATCTGCATCATATAGACAAACGTTTTGACAACGGCTGACATGTTGGTCCTATATATTTTATAACCGATAATTTCCAATCTCATTAGGCTCTACCCGGTGATAACGAATGAATGATTAAGCCGGAGATTATACGCCGCTTAGAGCATTTCTGTCAATACTTCAACCCTGCCACGGCTTCAAACAGTGAGTGAGTATGGTTTTACGCCGCTTTTAGCAATATTCCAGCAATATCACGGCATGACGAGCTAACGCTTTAACCACTAGGCTACCCGACCGCCCCTACGGCTTCAAACATCTTTCAGCGATCTATTCATATAAGTTTCACAGCCAGTGTGCCAATGTAGGGGATTCAACGTCACAGGCCAAAACATTTTTCAAATATTATGCACCTGAGATTTGCTATATATGGCCTAAGTGAAAAAGATATTTCGGTAAAAATTAATCTACAACATGAAAAAAGACAAAACATATATTCACAGGATACACACGCTATACCACCCTTCACTCTAATCACGCACACACTGTGTCATTATTGTATCTACATAAATTGACAATCGGTAGCCTATACTGTTTTTCGAATATGGTTACCATTGGGTGAGGATTATGATTTCACAATGTTCCAGCAAAGGACTCCAGGAATAGGACTCGCACATTGTACCCATGTATGGAATGAAACCTGGGTTTTCGGCGTGACGAGCAAGAAAGATCTATTTTGAAAGATGACATTTCAATGGGTTTTTTCCTGTTTACAAAACAATGTTTTCAATTTCTATTCCTTGAAAAACCACAATGATTTCAAGTGGACGATCGTTGACTAGCTTAAATATGGTGTGTTACATTCACTTTTTAAATATTTCCTTAAATGAGATAAATATGAAACAGGATCACTCACAGAATAATCAACATCAAATTGGAAAACCATTACTCAGTCCAACGGGTGGTCGCATCAAAGTACAATTTCCGTAACATGAAGGTTTTGAAACTTACTTATGAACATTTAACTAAAAACTACAAAACGAAACTTCACACAAATACACCACAGTGTAACGACTTCATTCTGTCGCCCATGGCCTCTACGTTACCTCAGCTATAGACAGACTTGCTGACATTGAGTTGGGGTCATCGTCGCTTTCAACATGATTCCAGTTATATCACGGCGTATCAGCTTAATATGGGAGGAAAGCCCGAAGTGATGCAGGTCTCAGACGTTTACCACTTCTGTGAAACCCACGAGCAAGGGCATGGTGCTGACAAACCTAGAAACATAATCGGGGTGAACCGGGATTCGAACCCAAGATCATAGGTTTCTTGCGTGCCCAAGGGACGCAGCTCCGCACAGCGAACACCCGGCGCCTTAGACGACTGGGCCATCTGTGCCCTAATCAAGGTAACAGGATCACGTGCTTGATGCATGTCATCGTATCTCAATTGCATTATGTAAAACACGCAGATCTTTCTGTTTCGCACCAACGGTACTTCACGATGCAATGAAATTGTTTTTCGTTATTCAAAAGTACTGATTAACTAAACAGCTTTTGGACGATGTAAGACGAACCTGCTGTCATATATTAAACGAGTTTCAGTGTATTTGACCACTTGCGTAGTTGTTTAATTTACAGCCTTAGAATAACGAACCCGGTGCTGGCTTGTTTTTCGTTATTCGAAAAAACGAATAACGAATCCGCTGCCAACCTCAGGCCCCTCGGTTTATTCTAGTCTATCAACATTCTACATTACACAAATGAAAAGTCATACATTATACACTCTGAGCTGTCCCCTCTCCTGTTGGTTTCAATTGATGGGCAGTAAACATAGCGACAGAGTACCAAAGAAGCATTGCAACTTTTCACTTCTCACTCACTCACTCACTCACTCACTCACTCACTCACTCACTCACTCACTTTTACGGCTAGGATGGGTTGCTGAAGACTGATTCGTTGGCTTGTTGTCGTTATTCGAAAAACGAGTAACGAACCCGCTGCCAACTTCAGGCCCCTCGGTTTATTCTCGTTTTTGAGCATTATACATTACAGAAATGAAAAGTCATACATTATACACTCTGAGCTGTCCCCTCTGCTGTTGGTTTTCAATTGATGGGCAGTAAACATAGCGACAGAACACCAAAGAAGCATTGCAACTTTTCATTCACTTGTTCCAGGGGAGGTCGGGTAGCCCAGTGGTTAAAGCGTTCGCTCGTCACACCGAAGACCCGGGTTCGATTCCCGACATGGGTACAATGTGTGAAGCCTAATTCTGGTGTCCCCCGCCGTGGTATTGCTGGGATATTGCTAAAAACGCGTAAAACCACACTCACTCACTCACTTGTTCCAATCTGTGCTGAGCAGTGGTAGAGTTCATTCCATTTGAAGGTGACCAGGTACAAATCATCTGACATGATCTCGGCCAGGAAGTGGGTGAGCGAGTATGGTTTTACGCCGCTTTTAGCAATATTCCAGCAACACCACTGCGGGGGACACCAGAAATGAGCTTCGCACATTGTACCCATGTCGGGAATCGGTCCCGGGTGACCACCGAACGTTTGGTTATCCCACCACCCAAGGACAGGTACTACATGCCACGATATATAGTGTAATGAGATGACAAGGGCGTCACAGATCAACATGTCAGCTCTAATTTATTGTAAATTTAAATGATGATGTAAATATTCCTGGTAAATATTGAATACTATCGGCTAGTCATTTCAGCAATGTCACATTCAGTCTACCAGCTGGACACTCCGGGCGCCAGCAGGACAGGTAGTACGTGACCTGAGATGACACGGGCGTCACAACTCCGGACGCCAACAGGACAGGTAGTACATTATATATGGTCCAGTGAGATGACACGGGCGTCACAGCTCAGGACACCAGCAGGACGGGTTGTACATGATATATGGTCCAGTGAGATGACACGGGCGTCACAGCTCCAGACGCCAACAGGACAGGTAGTACGTGACCTGAGATGACACGGGCGTCACAGCTCCGGACACCAGCAGGACGGGTTGTACATGATATATGGTCCAGTGAGATGACACGGGCGTCACAGCTCCGGACGCCAGCAGGACTTCCAGTAACATGGTGGCGGGCTGCCCGCACAGTCCGCAGGAGACCCGGTGTTGGACAGACTGTACGTGTAACACGACTCTCGACTGCCCGGCTGCTTCTTGAACATCACACAACGTTGTTTCCTGGAGCAGGCCACAGCACACGCCAGCCTTGATTTCCTTCTTGTCACGTTCATCTCAACGACCAGCACGCTGGAGGACAGTTGCTCAAAGTTCGTGATGGCGATGTCGTCTGCTTCGCGCCCAACTTTTGCGCATGCGCTCGGTGTTTTCATGTTTTTTTGCGGCGATGTTGCGGGCTGTGTTGGGGGCGGCGATGTTGCAGGCGGTGTTGGGGGAGGTGGAGGTGATGTTGGCGGCATATCCCCTGTGAGAACAATATGCAATAAACATCACAATAGGAACAAAATATTTATATAGACATGTGACAGAATTGCTGTGTTTACCTTGTGTCATCTGTGCATGTCACCGTGGGGATGGGATGAGGAGGAAGATGCGTCCCTCAGCAGGACCAACATCCACTGGTTTCACGTTCGAATCCTAGTTTCGCCCCAACTATGGTCCTTGGTTTATCAGCACCACACTCGTGCCCTTCGTCAGCATCAACGACCTGCTTGCCTGCAGTGATGGGACTGATATACACACTCTCATGCTTCTCATTCGAACAGGGGCGGTCGGGTAGCCAAGTGGTTAAAGCGTTCGCTCGTCACGCCGAAGACCCGGGTTCGATTCCCGACATGGGTACAATGTGTGAGGTCCATTTCTGGTGTCCCTCGCCGTGATATTGTTGGAATATTGCTAAAAGCGGCGTAAAACCATACTTACTAACTCACTCACTCACTCAATCACTCACTCACTCATTCGAACACAGTCATATTACATTACCTTTAGTCGCTTCTGTTTTCATATTCGCTTAAACAAACTGCTGCTTACACTGAGAATTACCCCCCTTGTACAAGATTTACTCGTTTATTAACCTGTACGGATATTATGACGTCATAATGTTAGATATGACGTCACTTACAATCAGAATTACCCTACTTATATGGTATATTATACACTGACGTTGACGATTATTTCTTTTTATTACCCACGTGGTGATGATACAGTTGGTAAGATACTAAATCCGTACGTCTTATATAAGTTATGCATATAACTTCTACAGACTTTATATATAATCGAGCTATATCCATTTACAAAAGTAGTCCGCTTCGGTGGGCCTGGCTAAAGTGTTTACATTCATTGGGGAATTATTCTTCATTGTTCTTTTTTCATTCATAAACAATCGCGATACGTCATTCATTTGCAACTAAAAGGCAGAACTGAAGAAATTCATGAGAGCGAGAGATATTTACAATCACTTTATTAAACCAAACAAGATAGTTACACGCATCAAATTCGGTTTTCATTCTTATATAAGTTATGCATAGAACTTCTACAGACATTATATATAATCGAGCTATATCCATTTACAAAAGTAGTCCGCTTCGGTGGGCCTGGCTAAAGTGTTTACAATCATTGGGAAATGAATACAATAACACGTGACCAATTCAGCTAATCAGAATGCAGGAATTTCAATGAACCCAAGGAAAATTTAATTATTCTTCATTGTTCTTTGCGATGTATCGCGTAGCTATCTTATACAAGAACAGACAACGCGTCAGAGAAGATCTGCCAGGTGTTCAGGGGTTTATAACTTTTACAGACATAAAATCGCTCTCTGAAAGTCCTCGGGTGCCAAAGATGTCAAATTACAAGTTACACTACAGTAACTGTCACTTCTCACTTACAAATTGACTACGACTACGACCACTACAAATATACAACCACTTCTACATCCACCACCACCACCACCACAGCAATCTCTTCTACACTTACCACTACCACAGCTGCCCCTTCTAAACCCAGCAGCACCACCACAGCAACCTCTTCTACACCTACCACCACCACAGCTGCCACTTCTACACCTACCACAAGCACAGCTACTACTTCTACACCTACCACCACCACACCTACTACGTCTACACCTACCACAACTACCACAGCTGCCGCTTCTAAACCCAGCACCACAACCACCACAGCAACCACACCTACCACAACCATAGCTACTACATCTACTCCTACTACCACAACAGCTACTACTAAAACATCTACTACCACCACAGCTACTACTTCTACATCTACTACCACCACAGCTGCTACTTCAACATCTACTACCACCACAGCTACTACTTCTACATCTACCACCACCACAGCTACCACTTCTACATCTACCACCACCAAACCTACCACTTCTACATCTACCACCACCACAGCTACCACTTCTACATCTACCACCACCACAGCTACTACTTCTACATCTACCACCACCACAGCTACTACTTCTACACCTACCACCACCACAGCTACCACTTCTACATCGACCACCACCACATCTGCTACTTCTACACCTACCACCACCACAGCTACCACTTCTACATCTACCACCACCACAGCTACCACTTCTACATCTACTACCTCCACAGCTACCATTTCTACATCTACCACCACCACACCTACCATTTCTACATCTACCACCACCACAGCTACTACTTCTACATCTACCACCACAACAACTACTACTTCTACATCTACCACCACCACAGCTACCACTTCTACATCTACCACCACCACAGCTACTACTTCTACACCTACCACAAGCACAGCTACTACTTCTACACCTACCACCACCACACCTACTACGTCTACACCTACCACCACCACCACAGCTGCCCCTTCTCAACCCAGCACCACAACCACCACAGAAACCACACCTACCACAACCATAGCTACTACATCTACTCCTTCTACCACAACAGCTACTACTAAAACATCTACTACCACCACAGCTACTACTTCTACATCTACTACCACCACAGCTACTACTTCTACATCTACCACCACCACATCTACTACTTCTACATCTACCACCACCACAGCTACTACTTCTACATCTACCACCACCACAGCTACTACTTCTACATCTACTCCCACTACCACAACAGCTACTACTTCTACATCTACCAACACCACAGCTACTACTTCTACATCTACCACCACCACAGCTACTACTTCTACATCTACCACCACCACAGTAACCACTTCTACATCTACCACCACCAAACCTACCACTTCTACATCTACCACCACCACACCTACTACTTCTACATCTACCACCACCACACCTACCACTTCTACATCTACCACCACCACAGCTACTACTTCTACATCTACCACCACCAAAGCTACTACTTCTACACCTATCACAACCACACCTAATAGTTCTACATCTACCACCACCACAGCTTCTACTTCTACATCTACCACCACCACACCTACTACTTCTACATCTACCACCACAACACCTACCACTTAAACACCTACCACAACCGAAGCAACCACTTCTACACCTACCACTACCATACCTACCACTTCTACACCTACCACCACCACAGCTACTACTTCTACATCTACCACCACCACAGCTACCACTTCTACATATACCACTACCACACCTACCACTTCTACACCTACCAGCACCACAGCTACTACTTCTACATCTACCACCACCACAGCTACCACTTCTACATATACCACTACCACACCTACCACTTCTACACCTACCACCACCACAGCTACTACTTCCACACCTACCACAACCACAGCAACCACTTCTTCACCTACCACCATCACAGCTACTACTTCTACACCTACCAGCACCAGAGCTACTACTTCTACACCTACCAGCACCACAGCTACTACGTCTACACCTACCAGCACCACAGCTACCACTTCTACACCTACCACCACCACAGCTACTACTTCTACACCTACCAGCACCACAGCTACTACTTCTATACCTACCACCACCACAGCTACCACTTCTACACCTACCAGCACCACAGCTACTACTTCTACACCTACCAGCAACACAGCTTCTACTTCTACACCTACCACCACCACAGGTACTACTTCTACACCTACCAGCACCACAGGTACTACTTCTACACCTACCAGCACCACAGCTATTACTTCTACACCTACCAGCAGCACAGCTATTACTTCTACACCTACCACCACCACAGCTACTACTTCTACACCTACCACCACCACAGTTACTATTTCTACACCTACCATTACCACACCTACCACTTCTACACCTACCACTACCACACCTACCACTTCTACACGTACCACTACCACACCTACCACTTCTACACCTACCACCATCACAGCTACTACTTCTATATCTACCACAAACACAGCTACTACTTCTACACCTACCAGCACCACAGCTACTACTGCTACACCTACCAGCACCACAGCTATTACTTCTACACCTACCAGCACCACAGTTATTACTTCTACACCTACCAGCACCACAGCTACTACTTCTACACCTACCACTATCACACCTACCACTTCTACACCTACCACCATCACAGCTACTACTTCTATATCTACCACAAACACAGCTACTACTTCTACACCTACCACTACCACACCTACTACTTCTACACCTACCAGCACCACAGCTACTACTGCTACACCTACCAGCACCACAGCTATTACTTCTACACCTACCAGCACCACAGTTATTACTTCTACACCTACCAGCACCACAGCTACTACTTCTACACCTACCACTATCACACCTACCACTTCTACACCTACCACCATCACAGCTACTACTTCTACATCTACCACCACCACAGCTACTACTTCTACACCTACCACCACCACAGCTACTACTTCTACATCTACCACAAGCACAGCTACTACTTCTACATCTACCACAAGGATAGCTACTACTTCTACATCTACCACCACCACAGCTACTACTTCTACACCTACCACCACCACAGCTACTACTTCTACATCTACCACCACCACAGCTACTACTTCTACACCTACCACAACCACAGCTACTATTTCTACATCTACCACAACCACAGTAACCACTTCTACACCTACCACTACCACACCTACCACACCCACAGCTGCCACTTCTACACCGACCACCACACTTTCCACTTCTACACCTACCACAACATTTACCACTACTGCTACCGCAATAAAACAAAGAAAAATACCTGCTGTTACTTCTTCACACACAACTTTGGCTTTTTGTCCACTCGTCACGGCTCGCCACTTTCCGTCACGGTCCGTGACTGCTCGCGTGTATCCGGGAGAAGAGGAAAGAGGCGAATGTATCCATCGAGGCGAGACCACAAGCCATCGGTTGCTCTTGTAGAACCAGTTCCAGGTGTCGGGGGATTCTCGGACCAGGCCAATCCATAGGATGAGAGGACGGCAGCCCATCCCTATTGGACAGAAGCACTTTATATGAGGAGCCGGTGTTTTGTTGTAGTAGTAGTCTTTATTCAAGTGTATTGTAGGCCATAGGCCCATGATACAAACGGTAAGTGTACAGTGGAAGTTCGAGGATAACATTTATGTATTTAACAATGATTGTCTAAGAAACATGGCTTTAACGGTGTTTTGTTATTGGGCGGTGGGGTAGCCTAGTGGTCAAAACGTTCTCTCATCACGCCGAAGACCTGGGATCATTTTCATAGTGACAGAGCACTAAAAAAGCATTGCAACTTTCCATTCACTTGTTCCAGGGGCGGTCGGGTAGACATTGGTGCCATGTGTGAAACCCATTTTGTTCTGGTGTCCCCCGTTGTGATATTGCTGGAATATTGCTAAAAGCGGCGTAAAACCATACTCACTCTTTTGTTATTCTTGGAAAAGTTAGGGACAGAATGTGAATATTGGCGCCAAATGGTCATGACTATTTATTGGTCGTTGCCTTCAACTTTTGCTTCAAGGTTGGTCCCAGTAATACCTGTCAGCGGGGCGGCGAGGTAACCTAATAGTAAAGCGTTCGCTCCTCACGCCGAAGATCAGGGTGCTATTCCACATGGGTACAATGTATGAAGCCTATTTCTGGTGTTCCCCGCCGTGATATTGCGGGGCAATTGCTACAAGCGGCGTAAAAGCATACTTACTCATACCGTCAACGACACGAAAAGGTTGAAAAAACACATTGCAGATGCATTGTGTTTGAGAATGATCAATACTGCCGTATATTGAAAGACGGGACGCCAGTAAACAGATAATGCTTCTCAACGGCAAGCAACACACAACGTCCCATGCCATCGGACCACGTGGCCCTCTATTCTTCTTGTACCCAGCCCCAACGGGCTGGAGTGAGTGAGTGAGTGGGTATGGTTTTAGGCCGCCTTTAGCAATATTCCAGCAATATCACGGCGGGGGACATCAGAAATGGGCTACACACATTTTACCCATGTCGGGAATGGAACCCGGTCTTCGGCGTGACGAGCGATGGAAGCCGAGACGAAATCGTATTTTCGGCAAAGGAGTCTTGTGCTTAAGTAAGCTCAGTGGCACACTCGTTGTCATGGTACTCACCACAGCAAGAACCAGTATTCCCTCCGTTGTGTGCAGTATACTATGTAGAATGACGTAAGTGAGTGAGTATGATTTTACGCCGCGTTTAGCAATATTCCAGCAATATCACGGCGGGGGACACCAGAAATGGGCTTCACACATTGTACCCATGTCGGAAATCGAACCCGGGTCTTCGGCGTGACGCAAGAACGCTTTAACCACTAAGCTACCCGACCGCCCCTGTAGAATGACGTAAGTTTTCTGCATCACACCCTTACATTATATTACAGGGTAATTGGACCTTAACATTTCTATTCTAATTTTCCCGAGTTGTTTTGTTAATCTCGAGAATTCCCGAGATACTATATCCCTCGTGTCAGGGCCCTTGAATAAAGACTTGCTGACTTCACGATATGGGATGTATTGGAATGACGGGTAATTTCAGGGTTTTCTGGAATTTCTTTACTTTAAAAAAAAAAAAAAATACCCACCATGCCATTGATATCAACAGTTTTCATCACGGAGCTAATCCCAATTTCCTCAGACAAGATAGACATTAGCATGACGACAGCATATCCCTTTTGTCAATGTTTATACTGAAGGTGAAAAGAAAGTTTTATTCGTACCTCGAATGCCACAGACTTCCCGAACAAGCCAGTTCTGTTCTTCTTTTGTCCCAAGTTCGACAACTCTTGTGTCTTCCGCCTCACATCGACTGACAGCCTCCTCCAGGGTGTCGTCTACGTCGAAGAAGTGGTAGCACTTGTTGGTGGTGGAGTCGTAGAAGTGCCGGGTGGCGGCCGGGTGTTGTGGGCAGTTGACTGGACCTATGACGACACCCACACCTGGGATCACACGGCATGCAGCGTGATATATACTGTGTCATTGATGTAACACGGCATGCAGCGTGATATATACTGTGTCATTGATGGAACACGGCATGCAACGTGATATATAGTGTGTCATTGATGTAACACGGCATGCAACGTGATATATACTGTATCACTGATATCACGAGGCATGTACCGTGATATATAGTGTAACATTGATGTAACACGTCATGCAGCGTGATATATACTGTATCATTGATATCACGAGACATGTACCATGATATATAGTGTAACATTGATGTAACACGGCATGCAGCGTGATATATACTGTATCATTGATATCACGAGGCATGCAGCGTGATATATAGTGTAACATTGATGTAACACGGCATGCAGCGTGATATATACTGTATCATTGATCACGAAACATGTAGCGTGATATATACTGTATCATTGATATTACGAGACATGTACCGTGATATATAGTGTAACAAATATGTAACACGGCATGCAGCGTGATATATACTGTAACATTGATATCACGAGACATGTACCGTGATATATAGTGTAACATTGATGTAACACGGCATGCAGCGTGATATATACTGTATTATTGATGTAACACATCATGCAGCGTGATGTATACTGTAACATTGATATCACGAGTCATGCAGCGTGATATATAGTGTATCATTGATGTAACACGGCATGCAACGTGATATGTACTGTTACATTGATATCACGAGGCATGTAGCGTGATATATACTGTAACATTGATGTAACAGCATTTAACGTGATATATAGTGTACCATTGATGTAACACGTCATGCAACGAGATATATACTGTAACATTGATATCATGAGGCATGTAGCGTGATATATACTGTAACATTGATGTAACACAGCATGGAACGTGATTTATACTGTAACATTGATGTAACACGTCATGCAGCGTGATACATACTTTGACACTGACATCACGAGGCATACAGCATTACATATACTGTAACATTGACACAATGAAACCATGCACCGTGATATATACTGTAATATTGACGTCATGAGGCGCGCAGCACGATATATTCTAAACCTTTCATCGCGAGGCATACAACGTAATATATAGTGTAACATTGACATCACGAGGTATTCAGCGTGATACATACTGTAAATTTGACGTCACATTACTGTAACATTATGTGCAGCGTGATACATCCTGTAGAATTGACATCACGAGACCATGCAGCGTGATATATAGTGTAACATTGACATCACGATACGTGCAGCGTGATATATAGTGTTACATTGACATCACACAACATGCAGTTTGATATATATTGTGATATTGACATCACGATTCATGCAGCGTGATATATACTGTAACATTGATATCACACAACATGCAGTTTGATATATATTGTAATATTGACATCACGATTCATGCAGCGTGATATATACTGTAATATTGATATCACACAACATGCAGTTTGATATATACTGTAATATTGACATCACGATTCATTCAGCGTTGTATATACTGTAACAATGATATCGCACGGGATTCTGAATGATAAATACAATAAAATCGATATCACACAGGATGCTGGCTAATACATCCACGGACAGCGCCAGTTCAAGGTACCCTATAACAACGTGCTCCCCGTGCTGGTACATATTACCTTTTGTCCGAGCCACGAATGACCACAACAGGACCATGCACACACCCACCCTTGACCAGCACGACATCGGCAACATCTTTCTGCCTCAACGTCTCTACGTCTCTACGACAGCGCCACAGGAATTAAAGCTCACAATAAAAGCATGCGCGTCAATTATACAGTCCCTTTACAGTAGACGAACATCATGTGTGTGTTGACAGGTGCCCGTGTTCACACCTGAGTCTCTGATAGCCCGTTTCATCTAAAACACAAGTGTTAACCATGCCGATAGGAGAAATATGTTGTTTTTTTAGTTCATATGAATCTCACCGTTACCGCGAGAACTGGTTGTTGTTTACACTGACAACTGAACAAACCAAGGAGGACATGGGCGCCGTTGTACAAAGAGATCTTAGCGCTAAGGTGATCGTAACTCCCATACCTTAACATAGACTTACGACAGTCGTAGGGCTAATGTTGTTTTGTAAAACGGCGCCCTGAGTTGAATGGGTAGGTTTGGGTACCTCCAAAGTCCACAAAAAGATAGCCCTGTTTACCCCAATAAAATGCACTAAATGTCTGCAACAAACCATCTTCCCGAGGCAAGAGAGTTAACTGACTTTGAAAGTCAAGATTTTGATTGGACTATGCATAGACTCGTTAGTCCAGCCGAAATCTAACTTCATAATGCCCGCCTAGTTCGGCAAGGGTGGAAACTGGACTTTCATGGTCAATTAACTCACTTGCCTCGGGTAGATGGCAACAAACTACATTCTTACAGGTTCTTGCGACAGATGGGAGTGTTGTATACTGTGTCTGAGTGGTATCCCTGTTCAACTGCGGCATGGTATCAAAGAAGGCTAGCAATGTAACACTTGCATTCGTCTGGACTAGTACATGCAGCCACACACACGTGCATGCACATCGCAGTATCGGTGTAATAATGTTGACTCAACTCAACTGAACTCAGCTCAGCTCAACTCAACTCAAACTCAACTCAACTCAACTCAACTCAACTCAACTCAACTCAACTCAACTCAACTCAACTCAACTCAACTCAACTCAACTCAACTCACCTCACCTCACCTCACCTCAACTCAACTCACCGCACCTCACGTCAACTCAACTCAACTCACCTCACCTAACCTCATCTCATCTCATCTCACCTCACCTCATCGCGCCTCGCCTCACCTCACCTCAACTCACCTCACCTCACCTCACCTCTCCTCACCTCACCTCACCTCACCTCACCTCTCCTCACCTCTCCTCACCTCACCTCTCCTCACCTCACCTCACCTCTCCTCACCTCAATTCACCGCGCCTCGCCTCACCTCACCTCTATCACCTCACCTCACCTCACCTCACCTCATCTTACCTCATCTCACCTCACCTCACCTCACCGCGCCTCACCATACCTCTCCTCACCTCACCTCACCTCACCTCACCTCTCCTCACCTCACCTCACCGCGCCTCGCCTCACCTCACCTCTCCTCATCTCACCTAACCTCATCTCACCTCACCTCACCTCACAGCGCCTCGCCTCACCTCACCTCACCTCTCCTCGCCTCACCTCACCTCACCTCACCTCTCCTCGACTCACCTCACCTCACCTAACCTCACCTCACCTCACCTAACCAAATCTCACCTCACCTCACCTCTCCTCACCTCACCTCACCTCTCCTCACCTCACCTCACCTAACCTCATCTCACCTCATCTCACCGCGCCTCGCCTCACCTCACCTCTCCTCGACTCACATCACCTCACCTTCTGAGCGGAATAAAACATTCAACTTGCCACCTTTCACTTATGACGAAACACGTACGTAGGTACCCGTGGTCAGTGTGATGGTGTCGGCAAGGTGTCGGTCGAGCCTATGCAAAGGTCACATACGACTAAAACACGTCTACTGGCTCAATATTTAACGATATTTCTCAATCTAAGCTGACGTACTTTATAGTTATTGTTTCGGTTTCTAATCAATATGCTGTAAAAATCCCCGAGCCTTGATGTGGATGTTCCTCCCCGCCACCTGTCTCCCCACAGATGTCAGGTTCCCAGACTCCATCCCACAGACAAGTCATTTTGCCAGACTCACAGCACAGCACAGCGCGACGCACAACGGACAGCAATATCACGGGCCAGGCATGACAATCGGTGTTTTCTTTGGGAAGTGGGTATTCCAGATACGCAACGGGTTTCAGCGATTTCTTGTAATGCAGTCTCGTCGTGCTTAGAAACGTAGAACGGTAAACAGTGCAAATACATCCTAAACACCTAATCTGGACCTTGTTTGGCTGGAGTTGTGACGAAGTGAAGGTGCAGCAGACATTTATATCAGCATCTGCTAGTCGACGTTTGAAAGTGACGTTCCCGTTGCAGGGCGCGTGACTGACTGATTGGAGATCCCTCCGCACACTGGAATTCAATAACAGCATGGAACCGGTGGATTTTCAGCTTCGTTTCTTGTTAAAATAAATATTTGTTAGTATTAGTTTTATCGTCTAAATTGTGTAACTATATCTTCTATTGCAACATCCCTATCGAAGGCTGAAGGGTCTGAGGAGATTTCCCCTTGCCTACACGCGCCCTGCATTGGTATTGGGACCCGTGGAGAGCCGGGTTGGAATCTTCAGCAACCATACTTGCCGAAACAGGTGACTGTGCTTGTTGTAAGAGGCGACTAACGGGATCGGCTGGTCAGGTTCGCTGACTTGGTTGATGCATGTTATCGTATCCACATTGCTGTTGTAGGGTTTTCTTCTTTTCAATATGTGCATATTTTGCACAAACGTAGATGCAGAGGTAAGGCCAAAGTAAAAGAAATTTCTTTTTGTCGTTTTCAGGATTCGTTTTTAATTAATATGCGAATTAGAAAGCTTGTAAAAGGATAGTACATACATGTGGTGGATATGCCATCTTGGGTGACTGAAACTACCATTCTTGAAGTTGGAAGATATCAGCCTTTTCCACGCAATCTTAGCCATATTTGGACACGCACAAGTGGTCACTTGCAAGTGAGAGAAAGATAAACAGCTGCACTACAAAGCGATCAGTCATATGAACACTTCAACATGTCAAATAACGTGCACGAAAATATAAAATCCGCCATGTCGTTAAATTTAACATTACGCGTTGGCCAAAGAGAATCTAAATTCTAACATCGTCCTTGGTGATACACAGAGATGATACACCCAGCGGACACACAGCGGAGACACAGAGCTGATGCACACAGCTGATACACACAGCTAACACACACAGCTGGCACACACAGCTGATGCACAGAGCTGATACACACAGCTGATACACACAGCTGACACACACAGCTGATACACACAGCTGATACACCCAGCGGACACACAGCGGACACACCCAGTTGATGCACACAGCTGATAAACACAGCTGGCACACACAGCTAACACACACAGCTGATGCACAGAGCTGACACACACAGCTGATACACACAGTTCACACACACAGCTGACACACACATCTGACACACACAGCTGATACACAGCTGATGCATAGAGCGTATACACACAGCTGATACACACAGCTTATGCACGTAGCTGACACACACAGCTGATGCACACAGCTGATACACCAAGCGGACACACAGCTGACACACACAGCTGATACAGACAGCTGACACACACAGCTGATGCACAGAGCTGATACACACAGCTGACACAAACAGCTGATACACACAGCTAATCCACACAGCGGACACACCCAGCTGATGGATGCACACAGCTGATACACACAGCTGATACACACAGCTGACGCACACACCTGACAAACACAGCTGATGCACACAGCTGATACACCAAGCGGACACACAGCTGATACACACAGCTGACACACACAGCTCACACACAGCTGACACACACAGCTGATACACACAGCTGAAACACCCAGCGGACACACAGCGGAAACACACAGCTGAGCTGAAAAAAACACAGCTTGTACACACACCTGACACACACAGCTGATGCACAGAGCTGATACACACAGCTGATACACACAGCTGACATACACAGCTGACACACACATCTGATACACAGCTGATACACAGCGGACACCCAGCTGACACACACAGCTGATACACCCAGCTGATACACACAGCTGATACACACAGCTGATACACCCAGCAGACACGCACAGCTGACACACACAGCTGATACGCACAGCTGATACACCCAGCGGACACACACAGCTGACACACACAGCTGGTGCACAGAGCTGATACACACAGCTCATACACACAGCTGACACACACATCTGACACACAGAGCTGATACACAGCTGATGCACAGAGCTGACACACACAGCTGCACTACTAAGAGGTAAGTCATATGAACACTTCAACATGTCAAATAACGTGCACGAAAATATAAAATCCGCCATGTCGTTAAATTTAACATTACGCGTTGGCCAAAGAGAATCTAAATTCTAACATCGTCCTTGGTGATACACAGAGATGATACACCCAGCGGACACACAGCGGAGACACAGAGCTGATGCACACAGCTGATACACACAGCTAACACACACAGCTGGCACACACAGCTGATGCACAGAGCTGATACACACAGCTGATACACACAGCTGACACACACAGCTGATACACACAGCTGATACACCCAGCGGACACACAGCGGACACACCCAGTTGATGCACACAGCTGATAAACACAGCTGGCACACACAGCTAACACACACAGCTGATGCACAGAGCTGACACACACAGCTGATACACACAGTTCACACACACAGCTGACACACACATCTGACACACACAGCTGATACACAGCTGATGCATAGAGCGTATACACACAGCTGATACACACAGCTTATGCACGTAGCTGACACACACAGCTGATGCACACAGCTGATACACCAAGCGGACACACAGCTGACACACACAGCTGATACAGACAGCTGACACACACAGCTGATGCACAGAGCTGATACACACAGCTGACACACACAGCTGATACACACAGCTAATCCACACAGCTGACACACACAGGTGATACACACAACTCACACACACAGCTGATACACACAGCTGATACACCCATCAGACACACAGCGGACACACCAAGCTGATGCATGCACACAGCTGATACACACAGCTGATACACACAGCTGACGCACACCCCTGACAAACACAGCTGATGCACACAGCTGAT